GAGGGACGCATGTTGTGCATGCCTGTGTGACAGCCACTTTCCATGGACTTCCCCTGCAAGGTCTCTGTGCTTGTGTGCATTTTGCACATGAGCAGACAAATTCAGAGAAGTTACTGACTTGCCCAAGGTCACCCAACCAGTATGTGGCAAAATCAGCATTTGAACCCAGGACTGTCTTATTTTAAAACCTCTGCTCTTCCCGCTACATCCTGCTGTGTCCTGATGAGATTGCCACATTGCCCAACTCCAGGGGCTGCTGCTCCCATTGCCATTGAGGGAGATGGGCCTGAGAGTTGTGTAATGCAGTGGCCATGTCTCCTGAGATGAGAAGTGTAATCTCTGTTAACTGGCTCTTGCAAAGGAGATATGATGAAGGTCAGACCTGGTAGGCTTGGACAGAAAGGGGCAGATTCGAGAGACATTAGGAGATAGATTTGGCAGAATTGGCAACTGACAGGATGTGTTGTTAAAAAAGGAGGGATTTGAGCTGCCTTTGAAGTTGCTAGTGTAGGTGGCCAGGGAAAGCGTGCTGTGCTTTCTGGGCTAGACTTTCATAGAATGCCACCTCCCCTGTTTCCCCATGTCACCTGGGCCCAGGGCCAGTGGGAAGGGGTAAAAGATGGGCTTGACCCAAGGACACACACAGTCTAGTCCTGTTTTGGCTCCTACTTTTCTCACTAACATCAAGCACAGGAACTGATATGGATCATTAAAAGCTCTGGTGCTTTTAGCTCTAATCAGCTGACCTTGTCCCCTGAATCCCAACCTGCCCTTGCCCCTGGCTTGCTGGCTGTGGAGCCGTGGAAAGTCCTCGCAACTGCCTGGTGAATGGGTGCCTGTTGGTAAACCAGGGTACTGGGGATGTCACACCTCCTGGAGAAAGTGAGATGCTCTCTGCAGAGCGCTACCACCCGTGGTGGCCTTCCCACATTGGTCTCAGCCATCAGCATGAGGCATTCCTTCCAGACCTGTTCAAAACACCCCTCAGCCTAGGAAAACACTCCCCTGTACTCATCTGTGGCTGTGACCTGACCTTCAGCTGTTACTGGGTTCCTGTAAAACATTATATACGTAAGAATTCACATACACACGCACACACACACAAACACATGCAGGCATGCACATTTTAAAAAAATTTTAATGAGAAAGTTTTCATTGATAAGGAAACAAGCTGTCAGGAATCTGTTCTTCAAAATACAATAATGCAACTTCCAGAGAACAGTCGGGGTTGGTTCAAATTCTACTCACAGTCTCACAACTTCTGTAGGGGTAAGGGTTGTGTGAGTAGTGATCAGACTCAGACATGGGGAGGACCCCAGGGCATTGAAACATCTTCAGTCAATAGCCTCCAGGTATTAGGCACTATACAGGCACATCTGTGCTCTCCGAGAACATTCAGGCCTTTGGAGATTCAGGCCACATACATGGACAGTGGCAGGACAAGGGCTGTCACAAAGCCATGCACACTCGTAGTAACATATTCGGTGTTGGTCTGCACTCTGCCATGTGGCCGTACCCCACCTTTTCTTCACCTTGGTTCCCTTGCTGTTACAATAGTGGAATGCACTCCTGTTGGGAGTGGGGCTCCTTAGGATTTCCCTTCCTGGAACAGTTACTAGAAGAGACTTACAGGTCCTTCTGGGAACCTGCCCCACGCCAGGGTTCCCAGCCCTTCCTGCCATGTCAGCTAAGGCCCCAGCCAGCCAGGCAGTGCCATGGGGTGGAGTGAGCCAGGTGTGCAGTTAGTTAGAGTTTGTGGCGGGCATCAGGAACCAGGTGGCCTCTAATCCCCTATAATCCTGACATTTGTTTGTTTTATGAAATACCCTTTCAGCAAAATGTTTCCACCACTTCACTTTGGGTTTATGATACATGATTCCTTGGATATGTTTAGAGTAGCATTTCCCAAAGAATGTTCAATAGTACTGCAAGATACTCATAAGTTTTCTGCGGAAAAAGTTATTCCTTTGTCAACACATTTGGAAGGTTCTGGGTCAAACAAAATTAAACAAGCTGCTTTGCTGCAGGACTTCTTTAAGCCTTTAATATGTAAATGGGCATTATGAGTCTTGAAAAGGCAGATAAAATGCACGATGTATTCTAACCTTATTTGAACATGGAACCTTGTTTTCATGAAATCTCTACTAATATCACCTGGAAAAGCTAGTGTCCTGAGAAGCACACTTCAGGAAATACTGGCTCAGGAGATTTTTTGTTATATAGGAAGTGGTGGTGTTTCAGCCATTTCCCACATTTGTTTAGAAGGCAGTTTTCAATAGCAGCAGGAGAGTCTATGTTTAGTCATAGGGAAGCATTTCCTAACTTGAGGCTGCTTAGGGAGTAGAATCCCGAGTGTCCTGAGAAGTTATGATAAGAGAGCACACAGCCTCCTTTCTTGTCCTTTTACAAGCTCTCCAGTCATTATAAATAGAATGAATTAACAAGGAAGCTCCTGGATCTTTCTAACTTGAAGGAGCCTTTGAAAATAGGGTATAATTGAGGGATAAGGGAAGAATTAAAAGGCAAGAAGACAGACTGGCTGACTTCCAGATGATCTGTCTCTAAGTGTCTGTAATGAACTCATTCATTCTTACTCCGGCCAGAACATCCATTGGAAGGAAACACCTTCCAAACTCAGGTTTCCAAGGTGAGTAGGACTGAAGGAGTCGAGGGCCAGAGGCTTCCTGAGACCTCACTCTATTATTTCAGTAACTGTCGTACATGGAGCACGTCTCATGTGCTGGATATGATGCTAAGCCTAGTGCTTGCATTTCACCTGTTCCTTGAAACAGTCTGCCAGGTTGCTGTCACGATGGTCCCCATTTTACAGTATGAGGCTGTGAAGCCCAGAGGGTTGAAGGCCTTTCCCTATTGACTATGGCCCCCTACTGCCTCCATCAATCTGTAGATGTCCAAGATGCCTTCTTTGAACTGGGCCTCCTTCTGTCAGGCTCGGGGAGAGGAGAGAGGAGGGATCATGAGCTGCCCAGAGACAAGGAAGCCGGGGGAGAGGGGATATCTTCCAGCTTCCCTGACACCACCCGTGGCTGGTGAGGTGCCTCAGTCATCTGACAGCTGCCTGGCTCTGCGCCCCTGCCACCCCACCCCCTTGCCAGATGCCTTGCTTCTCATTAGTCACGTGCCCCCTTGTGCCTGCTGCGAGCCTGCAGCACATGGCAGCTGCCCTGTTAGACAGGACGTGACAGCAGCTTATGAATCAATATGGTCTCTGGCACATCTGTGCTCCCTGAACAGGAACGTGGCAGGATCGAAAATATACTTAATCCTCATCTGACTCCACACTGTCAGAGGGTCGTGGCACCAAAGGAACCTTTGTAACTTCATTCTGCCAGCTGCAGCTGATGGGGCTGGACTCTGAGCAGGAGATCTCAGGTTGGCAGCGTGAGGCCTTGGCCCTGGCTGTAGGTGTGAGTGAGGATGCCGGGGACATGTCGGCGCCTGGAGCAGGACACGTCAGCAGGACATGACCTGATTCTCTGGAGGGGAGGGCCGGGGGCTGAGTGGCCGAGGGGTTAGTTCTGGGTCTGTGACTACCGTGTGCCCATGGGCTGGGGAGCTGTGTGTGAGGCACTTGGAATGAACGTGTGGTGCATGTGACTTCAGTGCACAAAGATGACCTCACCCACGGCTGAAGGCATCATTCCGGGAGCGAGGATTGGAGAGCCGCATGATTGACACCCTCCTGCCTTGTGTCTATGTACAGGGCCAGCGGGGAGCTTGGAGGTCCAGGGCGCCGAGCTCAGCCCTGCCTGAGGGTGGCTGTTCTTCTCCTTCTGCCACTAAGTAGCCCCACTGGGCCTCACCCCTGCAGGTTGTGCTTGCTGAGATAACCTGGGTGATTGGAGGAGGGCTGGATGTCCCGGAAGAATTCCCTTGAGCTTCCTAATATCATTGCCTCACATGAGGGTCCTCTCCCTGGTTCAGAGTAGCAGCCCCCCAGTGCCAGCCCCCCGCAGATACCTGAAGTAAATGCACTTGTTCACTTACAGTCTGTCTCGCCCACTAATGTACATGCTCCTGGGAGCAGGAAATGTGGCTTGTTCATATCTGCTGGGCCTAGAACATCTGTGCTTGTGTCCAGCATATAATAAGCACTTAAATATTTGTTAAATGAATGAAAAAATAATAATAAATGAAGGCACAACCCTACCTGCAGACCGACAGGTTGAGATTCTTGGAAAGTAAACTTGATGTTGTCTTTCCTTTGCTGACAGTCCCTTCAGGTCCCGTCACCTACAGGATAAAGTTGCAGCTCCATTGCCTGGCATCAGGCCCCTGCGCTCTGCCCCTACGACCTCTCCAGCTTCATTTCCCCCTGTTCCCCCACCCCCATGCCTCCTCTGTGCTAACCTGGCAACACAAACCTGGGTGTGTATAAGACCTTGGGACCTGCTGAACATGCAGGCCCCTGGCCCTCCTCTCCAGAGAATTAGTTCAGTTTGGCTTGGGGTGAGGTGCAGGAATCGTCACTTTTTGTAGATACCTGGGTGCGTCTGATGGCAGGCATTCCACAGGGCCACACTTTGAGGAATCATGCTTCTGTTAAAGCACAGGACAGGCAGCTGACTGAAAGGGTCACACACTTCCTCACCACAGGCCTTTGTATCCATGGTAACTTCTGTCTGGCATAGCCTTTGTCCATCCACATTTTCCACCCAGAAAACATTTGTGCGTCTTTCAAGACTCGGCTCAAGAGCCACGCTTCTGTGGACACTGTGCCGCCTCCACCGGGCACACCAGTGTTCTCTCTCTCTCTCTGGTGCCTCTTACACACGCCTTTCTTAGAGACCATCCTGCTCATTTCTCCTTTTTTCCCTCGCCCCGACACTGAGCTCTCGGAAGAACAGCTCTTAGGTATCTCTGGACCCTCGTACCTAGCAGACTGCCCAGCAGTAAGTGTTCCTTTGACTAGAGTGAGATGCCCGCTCCCCACACTGCTTCCCATCCTAACTTGGTTCTGCTTCTGACCGTCTTTCTAGGAGTTCTCGCTCCAGAGGATGGACAGCCTCGTCGATGATCGTGTCAACATCCTAGGATTTTCCATTTTCAACCAGTCACATGCGTTCTTCCAAGAGTTTGCCCAGAGCCTCAACCAGTCCTGGCAGGAGAACTGTGACCATGTGCCCTTCACCGGGCCTGCGGTAAGTACCCACCAGGGCCCCTCCCTGATGCCCCTTCTGTGGACCAGCCACTGGGGCGCAAGGCCCCTGGAGTCCAGACGTCTCCAGTCCCAGCCACACACAAAGAGATGTGTGGGGGTGTTGGGAGGGGGTCGCAAGAGAAGAGGTTGGCTGGGAGTGAGCTGTAGACAGCGGGCAGGTGGGAGAGTCAGCGGGGAGAGCTGTGTGGATGCACGAGCTCTCGTTTGGTGGCGTCTGCGCGTCTCCTGTGGCTGGTCTCCCGATGCTGCTGTTGCCGAGAACTGCCTGAGTTTTGGCTCCACAGATCCTGCAGTCGGAAGGGACTCCTGGCTGATGTGCTCCCTCACCTCTCAGATGAGGAAACTGAAGCCCTGACCAGAAATGGGGTGAGGGTGGGGACACGCGGGTCTTGTTCCAGGGCAAACACCCATCCCTTGTCAGGGAGAAACTAGATTCTGAGACGCCTGACTCCTGGCGCAGCGCTCTTTCCATCGCACTGAGTAGGAGCGCCTCCAGAGAGCTTCTCTGTGCACTCGCCACGTTCTCCCCGTTGTACTTCCTTCCCCTGCTGGGTGGGGGATGAAACAGAGGTTTCCGTGGTGGCCTCCATTGGGTTTGATGGCCTCACTCTGGGGCCGGTCAGGAATGTCTGCTTGGGTCCATCTGTTAAAAGGCAAGTTCTCAGTTGACCAGGATTGCGTGGCTTCTGGGTCCTGTCCTAGCCATGTCACACGTAAGCCTCCCAGAGCCCCATAAAGCAGCTCAGGCGATGCACATGTAACTTTCTGGGGTAACCACTGTCAGAAGCTCCACTTTTCAGGTGATGAAACTGAAGCCTGGCAGGGTCACCCAGCTAGTACGCAGAGGAACTAGGATGAGAACCCAGGCCCTCTGGCTTTATAGTTCTAACGCTGCACTCTTTTGCCCCTTATAGGACCATCCTTCCCTCGCTGCTGTAAACTGGCTGGGCTAAAGGAAAGCAGTTCATGGGTGTTCGTGGAGTGAATGTATGAATGAGTGAGGCAGGTGGGATACTGAGTGAGAGATAGGAAGAAATGGGAAAGAATTAAGCCAGGAGATGGCAGTGGAACTGGGTGCCCTCCTAGAGTGGGACATCCTCTGAGGGGCTTTTCAAATAGGAGGGGGGCCTATCTTTGATAAGACCTGTCCAGAGGCAAGGAACCTGCACCAATAGGCACCTAATTTGTGGTTGGCCAAGGGGGTGACCCAGCGCTAGGCCTGCTGAAGGCAGGGGCATGGTCAAAGTGACCTTCCACCAGCCTTTGTGCCTTTGTATGGCGTCGCCTGGTGGGAATCTTGGGTAGGGAGATGTACATAGGGGGCCAAAGCTTGTGCAAAGCCCAGGGATCAGGGGAACCAGACAGAAGCAAAGTGCTTGGGAGCTGACTGTTATGAAAGGTTTACAGAGCACTTTTTGACCTAAAAGAGGTAGGAATCCACAGGCAGGATTTGGTGGGGGTGAAACATGGAGGGAGGGGGTCCTCCTCCATGATTCGATCCCTCAAGGGACAGGGAGGGATGTCCCCCAGCACAGGGGCACAGGCAGGACCAGGCTCATCCCCCCTCCTGTCCTCGGTGGGTCTGTGTTCTTGTGGGCACCCCGCCAGTGTTCTGATGAGGTGCTGATGGACTTGAAAGATTTGCAAGAGTGTTAGCAAGGGACACGAAACGTACTGTGGCCTCCCTAGCCTAAACCCTTCCATGTTCGGCATCTGGCTTCAGAAAATCAACGGCTCCTCTGCCATGATCCCTGCTCCTCTTGGGGTGTTTCGGCCCCTGCATGAACGCTCACACCGACCACGAGCAGGCAGATGAGAGGCTCCTGGGACCTGGTCGGATGGCCTGTAGGGACAGTGTACAGGCGGCGGTGCCTTCATGAGGCTGTGGGGCCGGCTCTGGCCATAGGCACGGGTGCTAAAAAGCGTGTTAGCCTTGCAGGCACTTGGATTCAAATACCGGCCTTGACAGTTTCTTGCTATGGGATCTTAGGTAGTTGTGTGTCCGCCTTCTGGGCCTTTCTTTATCTGTAATTTTGAGCTAATTATGCTTGACTGTTGTGGAAGATTGTTGTGATGATAACATAGGGTAAGATTCTATCTTCAGGTAGTAGTTACTCATCAGATGTATCGATTTAATGTTCTATATGCCAGCCACTAGGACAGGCATCAGCAAATATATCAGGTGGTTTTGCTGCGTAAAGCGTGTATGGAATAACCAACCCCAAAATCTCACTAGCACACAGCAATGAGAATGTATGTAGCTCCTGCCTCTGAGCGTCTGCTAGGGATCTGCTAAGCTGAACTGGCTCAGCTGGGTGGCTCTGCTGATCTGCCTGAGTTCAATCAATGCATGGGGGTCAACTGATCTAGGCTGGGGCGGCTCTGCTGCACGTACCTCTCATCCTTCCCCTGGCGCAGCAGGTGGGCTAGCCGGGCATACCCTTGTGGTGGCAGAAAGGTGGTAAAGCAAGTGATAACATGCAAGACCTCACTGTCCTGGGCCCCCGGCACATACACTGTAACTTCCACAATATTTTGTTGGCCAAAGAAAGTCACAGACAAACTCAAAAGTCAGAAAACAGTGAAACAGACGCTACCCACTTAGAGAGGAACAATGCCCAGTCCCATGGCAGAAGGGCCGAGTCCAGGGTGGGGTGGAGGAGTGAGGCCGTCATGCAGCGCGTCATGGCGAAGAAGAACCCAGGTCACTGTCCTCAGGGTTCCTGATGTGGGAGCAAGATCTGCCTGCACCTCTGGGAAAGTGCTTCCGAGAGGGGTCCTACTCCTGGGGGAAGCCCCCCAGTTCTGCCTGGCATGATCAGTGAAGGCTTTCCAGAGGAGGGGGAAGCAAGGACCTCGCTGCTGCTCATTCACTGTGTGTGGGATGCTGTGCAGGGCATATAGGCATCCGGGAGGAGCAGGGCCAGATGTCCTGTCACTTGGAAGCAGCCCTCCTGACCTCATTTTTCTCCTTCCCAATGCAGTCTCAGACCTGCCCAAGCCCCTGCATGTTATGCCCCCCAAGAATACTGGCTGGGGAGAGGCATGCAGAGGGCAGGTGGGGTCACCGGAGGCCCCCTCCGAGCTGGGGGGCAGAGAACAAGGGTGAAAGGCTGTTTCATGTGGCCAGTGTGAGGGAAATAAATGTGAGCCGTAGACCTAGAATCGGTCACCAATGGGGGACAACCAGTCCTGGGTCACAGATTCTGGTTCTACTTCAGTGAGTTGTCTCTTGGCCATGGGTTTTCTAGCCAGTGAAATCGGGATGTGCATTCTTTCTAGCTTAGGAGATGGGGCGCCCATTCCACTTGCTTTCACCTGGGCACAGAGCTCGGAGAATGCTGTGACGTTCCCGTGGAATCATCCCACCTTGACCTTTCTCTCCTCCTCATGGCATCCTAATAGCAGATAAGAGTGGCATGCACCACTTTTTGGCAAATGAGGAAACTGAGTCGCAGAAGAGCTAGGTGGCATGCTGGGGTCTCCAGAGGTCAGCCCGGACTAGAGCTTCAAACTGCCTTTTGGTGCCAGAGTCTTCCAGCCAAGGTCTGTGTGGCCTCCGAGGAGGAAGTGGGGTATTTCAGACACCCCTGACCTCGCACGCAGTACCGGGGAAGGAGGCTCACAGCTTCAAACGGCAGCAAATCTTTCTCAAGGTTTCTCACTTTAGCAACTGCCTTTTGAAAAGCAGCGCCTCGCCCCGGCTCTCTGGGGGCTGAAACTCCTTCCCAGCACGAACAGCCGGGCTCTTTCACGTGCGGGGGAGCTAGAAGGGAGGCATCGTCTGTTCCAGGGGACAAGGTTGGTGTCGCCTCCGCATCCAGCCTCTGCCAAGGCTGTGATGTCTCCACCTCTGAGGGGACCGGCTCTCTCCCTCCCCCTGCTCACCTGCAGTGCCCTTTCTCTCTCCATCTCAGATCCTCTCCTCTCTTCTTTCTTTCCTTATCTTCTGCCCTCGCTGTTCCCTCCATGCCTTACCTTCTCCCTGTAACCCCCTTCCTTCCTTCTGCCCTTCACTCTCTCCCGCACTTGACGCGTCTCCCCGGCTCTGGCGTTTCTCCTCTCCTATTTCTTTCCTCCCCGATGTGCGTGCGGGTGTTCCTCCCCCTTACATTCCCAGTCGGTGGTATTGCTGGAAAGGTGGCCCGGTTCTAAGGGAGTGGCTGAACTGAGGGGTGACCACAAAAGCCAGCCCAGTGCCACCCACCCCTGCTGCCCCTGCCAGGTGGCTGACGGCCACAGCCGCTTCTTCCTTGAGCCAATGCAAACAGAAGAAGGATGTCCTGAATGGAGACACATAGCCACTGGTTTCGCATGCCATTTCCATTAATCACACTGCAAAGAACAAAATCGTAGGAAATCATTAAAATTACAGATGGCTAGATTAAGTAATTAGAATTTAGGCTAAAACAGATGTTTGTAATTAAGTGTTTATTTCATTGACTAAAACCCAGATTGTAAAGCCTGTTTCCTGAGATCTTAATGGTTCCTGCCCTAGTATTATAGTGGGGGGCAGAGTTTAAGCTACAGAGATTCAGAGACAAATGGGCGTCAGCAAGGACTCTGGGAATCCAGTGATCGGGCGATGTTGGTGGGGTGAGGGTTACAGGTATGTGTTTAGAAGATATTCTTATTTTTATCTCAGTGGATGGGGGAAGAAACTCAGCCACAACTCTGAGTCAGATTGATTCATCTTAATTTATACAGCGTCTTTCATTCCCCTGAACAATTTACAAACAGCTCAAAAGAAAATAACAATGGAGAACCAAATGAAAATATAAAAACAGGAGAATCGAGGGTTCCTTGCCAAGCAGCTCTTTGGTGCCAAGAAAGAGGAGAGGATTTTAAATGAGAATTGAGCCATGTGGGGGATTTAATATTTAGAAGAGACACAGGGACGGGCGAAGCCAAGACCAGGCACGCAGGACAGGAAGGAAGGGACAGGAAGGCAGGGAAAGGCAGAGGGCGGAAGGGAAGGGAACCAGGAAGAAGCAGGGGCGGGGGGCCCGCGAGCCCAGCTGCGGAGACGTGGACACGTGGAGCTCTGTTTTGGTACCAGCACTGTCTTTGCCTCACTGCGGTCCTAAATGCTTTCTAGAGGTGAATTAGCAAGTAACAGCAGAGGGAGAAAGCGGTGAGGGGGCAGAGGGTGCTGGGGGCCGGACATCTGCGTGAGATGGAAAAGCTGATGAGGCAGAGGGGACAGGCCCTGCCCAGCACCCTGGGAGGGGAAATTGGTGGGGGGAGGAGCCTGGCGGCTGGGAACAGACGCTGGAGGGGCGCCGGGTGGGCCGCCAGGTCTCAGAGATGCAGTTGGAGGGTGCAGGGCAGAGGCCTGGGCACATTTCCAGGAGCATTCGGGAGAGGGGCGGGCTGGCTGGGAAGGAGAAGGTGGCCGGGGCTCTGGCGGTGTCCGCTCAGCTCAGCCCAGGCTGAACCACGGGGAGGATCCATGAGGTCCAGAGCACAGTGGGACACGTCACTGTGTCACCTCCCTGAAGGCAGGAGATAGAGACGGAGAGGACACGGAACCGTGAGGATGCTCCGTCCGTCCGCTCCCTGCCCCTGGCATCCTTTGCTGGAGTCGTAATTACTAGAAGCACTCGAAGAATCCCGAAGTCCCCGGAGCTGGAGATGCCAAGGAGCACTGCTAACAGGCGCACGCTGCTCTCCCAGCATCCGGATCGTTTGCTAACAAGAGAGCATCAGCCAAGAAAACCGCACCCCAGATGGAGGAGTGGGAATAGTGACAACCACGCGCAGGAGAGAGCCAGGGCCTGGTGGGAGGATGTGAGGAATGTGCGACGGCTGCAGCTGCAAGTCGGTGGCGATGCAGGTCTCTCGCGACCAGCGGAGAGCCCCCTGGAAAGGAGCCTCAGAGAGGGGAGGAGGCCCAGGACTCTCTTCTGGGAGGGAGGGGCACAGTTAGGGTGCCCTCAACTTCCAGGAAGGAAATCTTGAATTAAACGGCCTTATGCAAAAAATGGAAATGTGTGACTTTGTGGCACAGCCAGTCGGGAGGCAGGGCAGACTCGGGAGTGCTTCCCCTGGGAACCTGGGTTCTTAGCATCTCTGCTCTGCCACGCGTCATCCTCAGGTAGCAGCTTCACCCTCAGGCTGGAGCCCCGGCGGCTGCCGCAGGTGCAGGCACCCTGTCCTGACAAAGGAGAGTCCAGAGGAGGAGGCAGGACTGCCTGAGAGGCAGGGGCTCCTTAAGGAGCAAGCCCTCCGTGGTCCTCCCATCGGTCAGAACCGGGCCACTGCCCAGGCCAGGTGAGGGGACTGGATGACCCTTGGACCACTTGGGCTCATCTGGGAGCTGGGCTGCCTCGGCTGCCCCTGAAGCACAGGGCTGCATGGAAGAGGGGATGCTACCTGCACAAAATGGAACTGTGTTAGGGTGGAAGTAGGGGAGAAGGGGTGCTAGGGAGGCAGCCAGTGGTGTCCCTCCTGCCCCGTCTGTCCTGCCCTTGTGATCCTGTCCCAACAAAAATTCCAAGGGACTCATCACTGAGGCCAAACAACCCATCAGACCAGGAGGAGGCGAAGCAGGTGGTGACCAAATGCAGGGCAGCAGAGAGACCTGCCACCACCCCTGCCCGCCCAGCTCTGGCCGGAGTCTCATTCTCCTCTCCTCTGTCTGCTCTTGAGAAGGGCTGCATGGGAGGCCAGGCACAAAAACAAACCTGACAGAGCAACAGCGCCCCAGCCAGCATCTCAGGAGGACCCTCGTCAGGAGGCCGGGAGAAAGACCAAGGCCCCGAGAGGGACAGACGCCGCTGGGGAAGGGGGGGCTGGGGCTCCAGGCCTGGCCCCGCCTCTGCCTCTCTCGTGCTGACTTTGGGCAGAAAGAGAAACTCTTTGCGCCTCATTTGTAAAATAAGAGAGCTGGACTCGTGGATTTCTAGGATCCCGTCCAGTCCCACACGCTGGCATTTTGAGAACCTCAGAACAGAGAGATTAGCTGGGAGACAAGGGAGAAGGTGGGACAGAAATTAGTAACTTAAATAGCCCAAGTGAAGGGTCTAGAAGCCAATATCACTAGGGGTAACTAACCCCCTCTCAGGCAGATGTTTGTCTAAGCTGGAAACGGTGGATGGCATTCCTAATCTCCATGTGTATTTTGGGCAAGGAAATGTGAGAGGTCCATTAATAAAGGAGCCACACATGTCAGGGGAAAATGAATTATGTGCAAAGGACAAGGACAGTTGCAGGCTTGGCAAGAAGCGTCAAGCACCATACAGGGGAGCCTCGAATAAAATGAAGAAGGAGATAAGCTGCAAAGGGGAAGGGCACTGGGATGGAGAAGGCGGAGGGAGAATGATGGATGGGAGGCTCACGGGAACGTGGTGGCTCAGTGTGGCTCCCCATGGCTCAGCAGGACTACAAAGGTTTCTGAGGACCCTGATTGCACCATGTAGGTGCCATTACCTGCTCGGCCTTTAGGTCACAGCTGGCTTTGGCATTCGAGACACAAAGTAGGGATGATATGGCGCCAGGAAGGCAGAAGACCCAGTGCAAGCAGAGGGAACATAATGGCTCCTGCCTGGCTGGATGGGTCTGCGGAGAATGGGAGGTGCTGAGGTCACAGGACTGCCAGGTGCAGGAGGGCCTGAGTCAATGAGGGAAGAGAAGAAAGGAAGCAAGTGGAAGAAAGAAAAGCAAGAGAGAGAGGGGGGGGGAGCGGGAAATAATACGCTGGCTTAGCAGTTCTGCAATGCAAACGGACCCCAGTTGTGGCAGAGAAACTTTATTTGACTGTTTTTCCCTGTAATTGGCCTTTTAGAAAGATTATCCCAACAGCCCATCCAGTTCCTATTACTGGCGTCCTTGCTGAACAGGTAGCAGAACTTGATGGATGTAAGTCACCCGTCCCTGCCTGCTTTCAGCCTGGTAGCTCCCTGTCCCTCCCACTCCCCACAGCCCCGGCTCAGGGATGCCTGTGCCTGCACACCTGCTGACACCTGTCTGCTCGGGGGTGCACAGCCACCGCCTTCAGAAGTGGTGATGCTGGCGGTTGACAGAGCAGTTTCACTGACCTGCAAGGCTGGGCGGCTGCCCTCATTTACAGGAAACTTCACTCCGACGTTCATCAGCGTGCCTGGGGTCACTCAGCACAGAGAGGGCTGGGGTCTCCACTCCGGGGTTAGTCTTCCTGGTTCCAAGCCCTTTGCCCTGCACCCTGCTGCCTCAAGCTGCTTACACTCTGTCTGCAGAGCTTGAAAGAGTCCCAGAAGTCACCAGGTGGTCTCCCTGCCTCCAAGCTTGGAGGGGCAGGTGTCCCAGAGCCCGGCTGGTAGGAAGAAGGTGCTAAGAAGTCACGTGGAGAGCGCTGTCCAGGAGGGGCGGTACTGAATCGCCCACAGTGGAGGTCACGCTTCAGTGAAGGAACTGGCTTCTTCTAGGAGGAAACAATATCATGGGGGTCTTCTGGGAGGAAGTGACCTTCAGCTGAGCCTCGCAGAACAGAAAAATATGGTGGGAAAGTCCAGGTCCCTTTCCTCTTCCTGAGAGAGACAGCCCCACCCACTACTTGGGCTTCCTGAGAGCAGTGGAAGTTGCTACTTCCCTGGAGTGAAGAGAGGAAAAGATACCCTTGAAACCATTTTAGGCCCAAAGGGGTAGGTTGAGGCACCAATACAGAGACCCTCTGCCGGCGTGTCTGCCTCGGGCAAGCGGCTGGACTCTAAGGGGAAGTGGGGCCCGGCTGGGGTGCACAGCCACCGCCTTCAGAAGTGGTGATGCTGGCGGTTGACAGAGCAGTTTCACTGACCTGCAAGGCTGGGCGGCTGCCCTCATTTACAGGAAACTTCACTCCGACGTTCATCAGCGTGCCTGGGGTCACTCAGCACAGAGAGGGCTGGGGTCTCCACTCCGGGGTTAGTCTTCCTGGTTCCAAGCCCTTTGCCCTGCACCCTGCTGCCTCAAGCTGCTTACACTCTGTCTGCAGAGCTTGAAAGAGTCCCAGAAGTCACCAGGTGGTCTCCCTGCCTCCAAGCTTGGAGGGGCAGGTGTCCCAGAGCCCGGCTGGTAGGAAGAAGGTGCTAAGAAGTCACGTGGAGAGCGCTGTCCAGGAGGGGCGGTACTGAATCGCCCACAGTGGAGGTCACGCTTCAGTGAAGGAACTGGCTTCTTCTAGGAGGAAACAATATCATGGGGGTCTTCTGGGAGGAAGTGACCTTCAGCTGAGCCTCGCAGAACAGAAAAATATGGTGGGAAAGTCCAGGTCCCTTTCCTCTTCCTGAGAGAGACAGCCCCACCCACTACTTGGGCTTCCTGAGAGCAGTGGAAGTTGCTACTTCCCTGGAGTGAAGAGAGGAAAAGATACCCTTGAAACCATTTTAGGCCCAAAGGGGTAGGTTGAGGCACCAATACAGAGACCCTCTGCCGGCGTGTCTGCCTCGGGCAAGCGGCTGGACTCTAAGGGGAAGTGGGGCCCGGCCCGGAGGCAGGAGGTGGGTCAGGGACGACAAAGATGCGCCCTTATTTCCCCCTTGTTTTGCTTTTCTCTCTTCCTCTTGCTTCCTCTCTCTGTGCCTGCCCCCCACCCTCCCGCCCACTGCACTCCCTCTCCCAGCTCTCCTCGGCCCTGCTGTTTGACGCCGCCTACGCTGTGGTGACCGCGGTGCAGGAGCTGAACCGGAGCCAGGAGATCGGTGTGAAGCCCCTGTCCTGCGGCTCGGCCCAGATCTGGCAACACGGCACCAGCCTTATGAACTACCTGCGCATGGTGAGGAGCGGCTGGGGCCCCGCTGGACCGCGCCCTGCCTGCGGGTGGGGACCCTCCTCGCTAGGTTCCTTGTCTCCAGGCCTCCTGGATAAAACGGCGACCTGTGGTGACCCCACTCAGTGCACCGGGGGTCGCATTTGTCCCCTAATCCCTAAAACTCCACAAGGGGGACATGGTTTGGTGCTGTGTGTTCTCCTGGCCGTGCCTCTCTGGTGGGATGGGCATGGATCTCCAGCCCACAAGGAAGACCTCTCAGGTCAGAGAAGCCGGTGCAGAGTGGCTTGGAGTTGGCATGTAGAGACAGGGTGTCCTCGTTTCTAGTAGGCCTGGTGGTGAATGAGCAGCTGCTCAAAGAAGATAAATGCTGCTAACAGCCAAGGGGCTGCAGAGGGACACAGGGGAGTCTGAGCTGCAGCTCACGTCTTGGCATTGCGTTGGCTCATGCAGCAGCTGTGAGGCCATTGCGTGGGGGGCATCCTTCTGTTTCTCCAGCCCTGGCTGAGTCTGAATTGGTTCTAGAGATAACACATTTGCAGGCACAAAGTCCTGTGGCTGAGAGGTGAGCAGGGGAATGGATCTTGATGGCCTCCCCTCTCTTGAGCACCTTAAATAACACACGTGTGGAATGCTTGCTTGGGGTGAGCTGAAACAGGGGCCTATTTGGTGCTGTAACTCACTCTCTCTTGGACAGGTAGAATTGGAAGGTCTCACCGGCCACATTGAATTCAACAGCAAAGGCCAGAGGTCCAACTATGCCTTGAAAATCCTACAGTTCACAAAGAATGGTTTCCAGCAGGTAAGCCTAGCGGTGCCTCCGTGGTGGCAGATGCCTTCTCTTTGCTCCGTTCTCTGTCCGCGGTCCATTTCCCCTTGGTACTCAGGATGGCCTCCTGCTCTGTTATCCCCAGGAGGACAGGCTGCCTCCTGGCAGGTGGTCTCCCCTCTTCCTGCCACCAGAATCAGCTAGTGGGGTCAGAGACTGTGGCTCTAGCAAAACACCAAGAGGGAGGTGACCATGCTTTGTCGGGGGAGAGGGCCTTGTCCCAGGCCTTGTGTTTTGGATTATTCTATTCCCTGAATCTCATCCTAACCTTGGAACTAGTGTTAGACTCCAGGGATTTCTGGGAAGGCCCCATGGGGCTGGGAAGTCCTTTCACTGGAGTAGAAGACCTGCCATTCTCTCTTGTCAGCTCTTTTCTGACCAACCCACACCCACCCGCATGCCCTGCCGTCTGCTACCTCTGCCCCAGCAGCTCGGGGACGTGGTGTCCTTTGCAGCTCCCGTCAGCTCCCTGCTCCTTTTCTCTTCCTCCATTAACCTTCTTACTCACCTTTTCTCCTGTTCTCTTATGTCAGAGGAAATGGGGACTCTGACAGCCACTCCAAGTGCCTGTCTGAAGGTCTCCCAGCTCCCAATTGCCCGAACAGTCAACTCTGTTCTTAGCCTAGCCCTTCTCCAGCCCTAGAAAATCCTGAGAAATAGGAAGTGGTGCACCGATTATAGCAGGATGCAGACATATTGAAGAGCTTCCTCTCAGAGTGGCTGGATAAGAAAATGTACTACCGAAGGGGTTGCAGAAATCACCTTTCCAGTAGATTATTAAGACTCATCATCATCATCTTGTTCTTCACCATCCCTACAGCTTTCATTTTTTAAGCTCTCACAAAGGCTCTATATTGTGTCATATGTCTTTTCTCATTGAACTCTACAGAGTAGGTACTTTTTATTGACCCCCCCACTTTACAAATGAGGAAGCTAAGGCTTAGGGAGGTTGACTGACCTGGCTTGGAACCGTTAGTGATGACAGCTGGTCTTGAACCCAAACACCACTGACTCTGAAGCCCAAGTTTTAACCATTATGACAAATCATGTATCCAGATCACCTTGGGAGTTTGTTAACAATGTGGATTTTGGGCTTCACCCCGCAAGAGTCTGCTTGGGGAGACCTAGGACGGAACCCGGGAACTGATGTGGTCATCGAGCACCCAAGGCGCTCCTGATGGAACCCCAGGCTGTGCTGTAGAGGCCCCACCATGTCTACACCTCCAAGTTGGAGGGACTTTGATTCAGCCCTTCTCACTAGATTGGGTGGAGTCCCTTCCAGGAGAACGTTGGTCATGCTGGCCAGGTCACCCTTCTTGGAAGACAACCGGGTAAAAGGAAGGAGACCCAAATGGGGCCAGGAAGTATGGGATGGACGATTACAAAATGGTCATTTCATTTATCTAACAAAGCATTTGTTATGTGTCAGGCACTGTGCTAGGCATGGTGGGAACAAAGCTGGGAGCTCCAGTCCTGCACCGAGAGCAAGCTCAGTCTGCTGAAGAGAGGCAGACAGAGAAACGAATAAGTACAATTTGGAGTTATTATACTCAAACCATGCCCTCGGGCTTCCAGTTGCCTGAACAAATGAAGCCCCCAGACTGTAGGGAAATTGCCAAGAAGGCTTTTCCCTGAGTCCCAATGTGCTTGTGGGAAGTGAAGTGAAGAATGCCCTTTTTTAGTAAATGTCTGTTGAGTGCCTGCTCTGTGCCAGGCTCTCTTCTTGGCACAGGTTTAAAAAGAATGGGCAGAGTGTCTGCTCTCTGGAGCCTGTATTCTTGTATGGAGCGGACGATGGGCAAACATATACATATGTAATATAACAGCAATAGTGGGTGAGGTAAATGCTGTGTGGAAAGTAACACAGGACACGGGAATGGGGTGTGTGGAAATGATAACGGTGGGGAAGCAGTAGTTAGGAGAACATAATGCTCAGACTGAGCCCCAGACTCGCTCCATAGAAAGCCCAATCTCGGGCTTCGAAACATCCCCTTGGACCTGTTTTCTGAATGCTCTGGAAAGAGCCCACGTTCAGCACCCACACCATCGAGTGACATCTATGGCAGCAGAGTTGGTGAATGGCCCTGATCCCACTTGCTGATGAGGCTCAAAGTACCTCTCCCCCCGCTCTGCTTCTCAGCAGCCACCGCTCAGGCTGGCTTTTCCCAGCTGCCAGGCTGCAGGATTGCCTGAGTCATTACAGAAGAGCATTGCTAGCCACAAGCCCCCACCCCTCAGCCCCCGCCCCAGCCCAGCTCTGCCGTGTATTAAACATAAGCGGCTTCTGCTGCTTCATCACCACACACGATCGGTATAGGGTAGGGCATTCCAGACCCAGGTGTGTCACAACGGCCAGTGGTGTTTGTTTTAAAATGTACATCCCCAGACCCCACAACTGCAACTTGTGAGTTTGTAAAACTGGGTGCATTCCAGGAATCTCCATGTTCTTAACAAGCACCCAAGTAGATGATGATGATAATGCAGTTGTCCACAGAGCATTAGTCAGCTGCATCCCTGTACGTGGAATTTCTTCTGGACCTCCCTGCATCCCACCTCTATCTTTTTGAGCTGCTCCTGAATGGAATCTGCTGCAGAAATGACCCTTAAGGAGGATGGTGTTTTTGACCTTCAGCTTGTAATAATATTCTTTTATTACCCATTTTTCTTCAACAAATCTGGTGACTGTTCCTCTGCTTTCCTGTCTGGCTCAGGTTCCGAGAGCACCAGTGAAAACCGTGCAAGATGTTTCACGGGCACAGATGTCCCCTGCCTGGCTGGTCCCCAGGTCCCATCTCTATCACCAGCCTAGTCTTTGTCTCTTCACAAGTGACTTTCCCCTGCTTGTTACAGGAAGAAGTGGTTTGGGGAGTGATAATTAACTGGGCTCCGCTTCCAGGGTGAGAGGAATGTCAGTGTCTCTGCTCTACTATCTCCCAGTTCCATCCAAGGTGATCCTGGCAGGGGAAGGGAGAGCGACCGGGAGCGGGGAACGATCATCTCTTAGGCACCTGTTGTGTACCCGACACCCCGTGGGCACCCTGCACAGTCACTTCCTCTCTGGAGGACAGGCCTTCAAGGTGGATAAACGCCCATTTCACACATGAGGAAACCGAGGCTCGGAGGGTGAGGAAGTGGCCGAGGCCCACTATTAGCAAGGACTTTGGGTAACAGAGCTGGAACCCACACTCAGGTCACGCTCCTGGGTCTCCCCCTCTTGGCTTTTCCCCACTTTCCTGGAATCCCGAAGGCCCCAAATCACAACACTTTATTCAGGTCTGTTGCTTTGCTCCTAGTGACCCACTGGGGCTGGGCTTTCTTTAGTAATGGTGTCTTTACATTTGTATTTTATTTTGTTATTTCTCTTCCTATCTGGTTGAGTGACTATGAAGAGCTGGTTTTGATTATTTAGAAAGCGCCACGCAGGGACCCAGTGGGTTGTAATTGGTAAAATGTCTGAACCAAATGCCATATTCCCTGCCGGTGGCTGATTAAGGGATTATTACCATTTTAAAAATAGTCTTTCAGAATTCAGGGTTATTTTTTACCTATTAAAAAAATACAATTTTGATTGTGTTCAGAAAGGGTTTTCCATTTTGGGATTCTGTGGCACTTCCATTGGAGCATGTTTGGAGAAAATGTTCCCTACAGGGTCCTGCACCTAACCCTTCTGAACCTGGACCATCTCCTGATTATTTGTGGGCATAGATGTCAATAGGATTGCTTCCAGGTTCAGGTTCTCTAACACCATCCCCCAATTTTTGCCTTTTCCATCCCATATTCTCCTGTCTCATCACCCAAAAGATGCCCTGGATAACTTTGGAAGAGTTTAATGATTTGGGTTAAATCATATTTGAAAGAAACGAGGAATAAAGGGAGCGCAGCATTAGAGGGCCCTTAATTTCCCTCGTTTAACGCAATCTAAAGATCAGACATTCTGAGGGGTCCCCAGGCGACTTTGTTAGGGTTGTAATAAGATGAGCATACCTTTCATCTGCAGATTGGAAATGGCTTAACAGGCTCTAATTAAGCCTCCGGGAAACAGAGGGTGGAGGCGGGCATTTGACATCCCTACCTAAACTTTTTTATCCGAGCACTATATATCACAATGACGGCACCGCAGTATCTTCCTCTATGCAAGGAAGACGGGAATCCCTCTCCGTTTGGCCTCGCTAATCCCAAGGATTATTGATGGCACTCTCTCCTGCTTGCCTATGGTTAGGTCAAAGCTGGCTCTACTGATGCAATAGTAATAACTGCTAACATTTATTGGGTGTGTCCTACGTGATGCCTGTGCTGGGTGGCCTTCATATGTATTTAAATTTTCTCATCTTTTTGTCAACCATCTTGCAGGTAAAGAAACTTGAGACAGAGAGGGATAGTGTCCATGTCCATACAGCTAGTAAGTTCCAGAACTGAGTGCAGGCCTGGCTGTTATCAAAGCCCAGGGTCTTTCCACTTTGCAGTGTTGGAGGAGACCCGTAGGCCTCTGGTCTAATCCTCCAACCCAGTGCAAGAATGTTCTCCATGGTGTCCCTGAGACAGATAGACACCGAGCCTCTCCTTGAACATGTCCTGGGCTGAGGAATGCTCAGCCTCTCAAGGGACACATTCCCAAGCATGCCAGGTACTGGGCCAAAATCTGCCTCCTAATTTTGCCCCGTGAAGCAACCAGAGAAAGACGGCTTGCTTGCCTTTTTTTTTTTTTTTATTAGTTCTTCAAATATTTGAAAACAGTTTGATTTCACTTTATTCATTTGTTCATTCCTGAAATTTAGCATAGCAGTTTTGAGGATTTTGAGGATCTCCTCCAAGTCAAGAGCTGGGAATGCAGGATACATGAGTCCTAGTTCCTTCCTGAGCTTATAGTCTTTTGGGGAAGGGGAAAACTGCAGTTGTCCATATGTGAACAGTGCTTCCGCTGTTCTGCCCTCTGAATTTTTTCCTTCCCCAGACAGGGGCCCAAAGCTGTTCTC